TGTTCCGCCAAGCATTGACCAACACCCCCAGGTCCATTTCCTCTGCACAGTCTGTCACTCTGCCCCACACCTGCAGTGCATGTTGTGGCCAAAGTGCAGGACCTGGTGCTTGGTCTTGTTAAAGCTCCTGCCATTGAATCTACCCAGCCCTCCTTCAGCTCCTCGATGTTCTCAGGGTCAGCTGCAGGGCAGCCAGGCAAACCCAACAGGCTTCTGCAGACAGAGAAAGCCAGTGCAGATGTGTAGTTTGAGCACAGATTGCCCCATGCAAGACTTCCCCATTCAAGGCTTTAGAGGTCATGCTCCAGTGTCCTCCCCCCTCCGTACTCTTGAGAGCCACAATACTGGATTATTCTCGTGGCCACCATGCTAGGAAATGACCACCAAGGTCAACAAGTCCAACCATCAACACGACCTACCAAATCCCGTCACTAAACTATAGCATCAGGGAGTCACAGGAACATAAAGGCTGCAAAAGCCCTCTGAGATCCCCAGGTCCCATCCCCCACCCATCCCCACCATGCCCACAGCCACGTCCCTCAGTGCCACGTCTCTTCTTCAGCACCTCCAGTGACGGGGGCCTCCAGTGCCCCCCTGCCCATCTCCGCGCCGATTCCCTGCTCCCAGGACACCCTGGTGTCTGACTGGCCCACAGACTTCTCTTGGTCTTTAGACTCAGCCATCAGACAGCAGCATTATCCGTGTTTCCTTCTATATCACGGGGATCATTTGTTTCTAATGTGCGTTTTAGCACCACTTTATGGCCCTGGATACTGAGAGATGTGAAACGCTGCAGCTGCCTGGTTCATCAAATCAATGTAAACACAATGAGAATAAGACAGGAGAAGATGGATGTGAGCAGCACATTATAAAACAATATTTCCTGTATGATTTCTGAAGCCAAAACCTAATTGTGTATTTATTTTTATTGCATTACCTGAGAGGCCACACTTAAAAACTCAGAGCAGCCCTACCCAGGAAATTGATATCTGCTGTGTACCGTTTCCTCCCGCACAGTGGAATGGATTTCTCATTCTGCTGCCTTCACACCACGCTGCAGTGCCAGCTTCTACATCTTACCTTCACACAGTGTAAATAAAACATGTTCAGAAGGAGAAAAAGAAGAAGAAAAGGGTACGGTTACTTTGCCAGTAGATCCACGTAGAGTAGAACCGAAGGCAAAGTTAGCTTTTCATTTCACAGATCAGAATTTAATCACTTGTCAAAACAGAAATTAAAATAGTTTGACATAAATCTTGTTTGGATTTCTCCGCCTGAAAACAAGCAGTCTGGAGACATTGTTCAGAGGAACCAAAAATGCTTTCTTTCACTTGCAATGATAAGAAATGTCAGTGTGGAGCACAATGTAGACCAGAGAGCACCTTCTGCAAAGGCAGGGATTTCAGCATTTCCTCCTCGGTCATTTAATGTGACATTTGCCCAAGGAGGCTGTGGATGCCCCATCCATCCCTGCAGGCATTCAAGGCCAGGCTGGATGTGGCTCTGGGCAGCCTGGGCTGCTGGTTGGCGACCTGCACACAGCAGGGCTTGGAGCTGGATGAGCATTGAGCTCCTTTGCAACCCAGGCCATTCCATCACTCTGTGATTAAGGACACTTGGATCGACTTCCTGTGATTCCTACAGATGGCAGAGGGGTGAACACTGCACACAAAGGCGTTCTTTCCATGCTCCTTCTGTGGACAGTCTGGGATCCACACCCATCGCCCGCAGCCCCTTGTGATGAGCAAAGGGATTGTTGCTTTGCATTTGGTATGCACAGCATCCCACTATCCTGAAACAGCAGGGAAAACCCTCCCTGATGCCTCAGAGACGCTCATTCCCCAGCATCAGCTTCTGCTGAGCACAGTCCACGGAAATAAAGCCGTGCTTTGCGTGTGCCCTACATCTAAACCACGAGGCGGTTTGTGCAGTGCTGATGCCACCATTCCAACCACAGCCGTGAGCAGACGGCCCGTAGAACTTCCCCACCCAGCTCTTGGTAATTAAATGGTATACACTGATCTCGTTTGTAATTAATATGTCCATCATTATATCAAGGACTGGAAAAACTAAGAACTAAATGCCCCGGATGTGGCATCGAGTCCTGAATAATGCAACGCACAGAATTCCTGTCCCATATGGCACTTCAGGAGCCTTCAGGACCTTTCCAGTGTCCTTTAGCACAAGGCGATCTGGACAGCCTCGAGGTTATTTCTAATATTGTGCAGCTGAGATTGTGAGCACGGAGGCAAACACACAGGCCCAGAAGCAGAGGCATGGATCAGATTTCTCTCTTGCTTGCATACAAAGCAGAAGGCAGCTCATTGAAAAGCAGACTTGTCCAAACGTGGCAAGCTCAGTGCTTCTGGAGCAAGCTAATGCTGCAGATGGAAACTGCCTTGTGCATTCAGCAGTCAGGAGGGATTCTTTTGCAGTGGGTTAATCCACGCACGTAGCAGGCAAGTTCCCCTCTCTGCAGGCAGGTTTGTGCACACGGACCAGCAGAACTTCACTCTCCAGCCCTGAATGCAGTTGGTTCGAGCAGCACATCTCTTACAAACTTTGTTGGTTTGCTGGTCATGTTCCACCTTGCACACTACTGCAGGATTCTGACTCCTGTACCCTTTGTTTGGCCTTGTTCCCTCTGTGCCCACCTCACATCACCCAGTGTGCTGAGCATTTTGCCTCTCTCTTGCTAAATCCCACCACTTCCACAATGAGACAATGGCAAGTCATAGGGAATTCATCAGTATCATATCCCAAAACTAACGCCTGGGCTGTGCAGGTGGGATGTGATGGGAGTGGTTGTGGTCATACAATAACAGAATGACAGCATGGCCTGGGCTGCAAAGGAGCACAGTGCTCATCCAGCTCCAAGCCCTGCTGTGTGCAGGTCGCCAACCAGCAGCCCAGGCTGCCCAGAGCCACATCCAGCCTGGCCTTGAATGCCTGCAGGGATGGATGGGGCATCCACAGCCTCCTTGGGCAACCTGTGCCACTGCCTCACCACCCTCTGGCTCAAAAACGTCCTTCCCAAGTGGTGCCCAGAGAAGGAACGTGGGATTCTCAGTGCCCCAGATGAGCCCAGGAGACCACGGGGGGTTGATGGGACTGTGGTGTTCAGAGCCTCAGTGAGCTGAGCGCCAGCAGAGCCTTCTGGCATAGAATTACAGAATGGTTGGAGTTGGAAAGGACCCTTTAAGGCCATCAGGTCCCACTGCCCGCAGTGCACGGACACCCACGGCTCCATCAGTGCTCCCAGCTCCTTCCCCTGACCTCGGGTGTCTGCAGGGATGGGGCACCACCACCTCTATGGGCACCCAGTGCAGTGCCTCACTCAATTAAGGCACGGCCTTCAATTTCAACGGAGTTTTGATTCTGCAGAGGCCGTTTGGGTGGTGGTGCAGCCATGAGGCAGTGCTGCGGGTCCATCAGTGGCATTGAAGTGTTTTCCTGCTCAGCGAGGTGCTGCTGATTCTGTTCTGCAGAGAACTGCTGCTCAGGAGCAGTGCTCAGGGCAGGATGCCCACTCTTAAACCAAACCTACTGTGAAACATCAGCCCAGAGCTGAAAGGTGCACACGAGAAAATTCCAGTGCTTTGCACAGGGATGAGAGAGATGCAGATTTAGGGAGATAAACTGAACCCAAATTAGTGCTTTGACCTGATGTAAATTGAATACTGGGAACCAAGGCTGAATTGAGATCAGTTTTTTATCTCAGCACTGTTCTGTGACGGGTGGTTTCTGGCCAAAGGAAAGGCACTGTCACTGCATTATGAGTTGTGGGAGCTCCGTGTGCTGCCAGCTCTGCTCTCCTTGGAGCTCTGTGCCTGCGCTGGGTTCATCCTCACAGCACTTCTGGAAGGAGTGAGATGTGATCCATTTCAGAACGCAGGCAGTTTCTTTCTGAATTATTTGTTGAGATTTGGGATGCACAAACAGCCAGGAGCGCCAGGATCTGCACAAGTAGAAGATACGAGGTGCTACAACAGCCGTCAGGGGCAGCATTCATTACAGCAGCTCAAGCTTCAGGCGGAGCAGCTGCTGCACTGAGATGGGCTCTCGGGGGCTGTTTGCACTCTGACCATGCCGCTGCAGAAGCTTAGAATGGCATCATATCATTTTGGGTGATTTTGGATATTGCTGCAGGAACAAAGGGAACGGGTAATTTGATGGCAAAAGAGCTGACAGCGAATGCCATCAGCCCTACAGCTGCTGTCAGGAAATGCTTCAGGGCTGCACTGGGCTGCTCGGGACGTCCCCCAGCCTCTGCCCACTGCTGCCGTTCTGCTCTGGGAGCATCCTGCTCTGCTCCCTGCAGCTGCTCTTGCAAAGAGTGCCCAACTGCTTCTGAAGCCCTTGGCTTTGCACTCCAGGAAGGCAGCCACTCTGAGCCAGCATTTCCTTAGGACCTGGTACCAGTTTGACTCGGTGCTCAGTCAGTCCCCGCTTCTCAGGGGCCAGAGCTGTCAGTAGTGTGTGACTGCACTGCTGTCAGCTCCTGAAATGGAGGGCCTCAGGCACACAGGGATGTACATTGTTCCTCCAAATGACTTGAAACTGCCTTTCCCAATGCATTCCAGGCTCTGGGCAGCCTGGGCTGCTGGTTGGTGACCCTGCACACAGCAGGGGGTTGGAACTGGATGAGCGTTGTGCTCCTGTGCAACCCAGGCCTTTATGTCGTTCTGTGACTCTATGAAAAGGCCACTGAGATCATCAAGTCCAACCGCCAACCCAGCTCCTTTTGGAACTCTCTTCTTCACCCAGCTGTTCACTTAAAGCGCAGATAGATGTTATGTAGTTAAGGAATAAAGAGACTCCAGGCATGCTAATCTGCAACACTTGCTTTTATTTCTGTTATTCTTTCTAGAGACTTCTTCAGTTCAGTGATTTTTTAATACAGAAGCAATTCCTGCAGCGTCCTCCATTATGTATCTGTGATTAGAGAAGGTTTATTACACTCCTTGTCCCCTGACTCCGCACAGACGCCAAGATCTCCATCACACCACAGTGGAATCCTCACTGGGGGCCCCGTAGGTGGCTCTGCTGGGGGGGGTCCTCCCGTCCATGGGCCCCCTCTTTCTGCAGCCAAGCAGAGGGCTGGCATTTGGCTTCTGGTTACGTAGAATTACAGCATCGTTGAGGTTGAAGAAGACCTCCAAGATCTCCAAACCCAGCCCCAGCCCGTCCCGCCATGCCCACTGACCCCTCAGTGCCACGTCTGCCCTTTTCTTGGCATCTTCAGATGGGGGACATCTTCAGGGACATCTTCAACAGACCGCCAGGGAATTCGGGGTGGGGACACGGGGTGCCCTGTGTGTGGGGCTGCAGATTTCCTCACAGTGCCTGAAGTGGTTCTATGGGAGATCTGGGCTCCCACCGAAGCATTCCTTACACGTGGCTCTCATTCCTACAGTGGATGCATGGTGGGGCAGAGGAGCATCTTCACCACCTTCTCTCTTCTCTGCCGCGTCCGCACGCCGTGCACAGCGGGGTTCAGCACGGGGAGAAGAGCACATAGAGGTTGGACAGCAGGATGTGGACGTGGTGTGGGATTTCTACCCCAAAGCAGTGCGTGAAAAAGGCAGGAACATAGAAAAGGAATGTAACACAGACAAAGGAGACACAGGTGTTAAAAGCCGTGGAGCAGGCTGTCCTGGATGGGGGTCTGAATGCTGCCAGGAGAATCAGGACACAGGAGGCAGCAATGAGGGCAGCGTCCAGCAGGATGGCTGCAAAGGGCTCGGCAAGGCTGTGGAGGATGCTGGCAGAGCCAGAAGAGGGCCGGCATCTTGGGCACGGCGGTGGTGGACAGCATCAGGTCAGCAGCAGCCAGCGTGCACAGGAGAGGTATGTGGTGTATGTAGCTTGTTGTTGTTGTTGTAACTAATAGGAATGGGAGGGTGGTTGGACTAGATGATCTTGCAGGTCGTTTCCAACCTTGTGATTCTGTGATTCTGTGGGCTGATGGAGGTTCTACTCTGCCCTCTTGACTGCTGTTCCCCAGCAGGGCAGCCAGGTGCACGCAGCAGAAGGGGATGGGCAGCCACACGTGCAGCTTCTCCGTGCCCGGGATGCCAACCAGCACAAAGGTTGCTGGGATCGAGCTGGTAAGGTTGGATGGTGGCATGAGGTGCACCCCATAGCAACGACAGAAAGCACCACAGAATGGCATTTCATAGAATGGTTTGTGCCGGAAGGGACCTCTGAAGGTCATAGAATCTTAGAATCATTAAGAATGGAAAAGACCACTGAGATGATCTAGGATGATCGCCCAGCCCCAGCCCATCCCTGCAGGCCGGCTAAGCATCTCCCTCAATGCCACATCTCCATGGTTCTTAAGCACCTCCAGGGACAGCAGCTCCATCACCTCTCGGTCGTTTGTCCAACAAAGCACAGCCCCATTCAACCTGATCTCTGAGCTGTGAACAGCCATGGGCACCATCCCCGGTTCAGAAGTCCCCTGGGCTGCAGTGCATTGCAGCAGGCACTGTTATGTTCCCGCTCCTACTATGTGCCAATGGCAGCGTCCAAATTCTCCCTTTTTTAACATGATATAATGCATTTTTTCCACCAAGTACTTCCATGTAGACCAGAGTGAATGGAAATGGAACCAACCCACACTGCACAAATAGCTGACACTGATGTACTGCCTGCCTGGAGCAGAGGGAAGAGCTCAGACAACAACAGGAGAGGAAGCCCAGGTGGCAGCAGGGCTGCACAGATGCTCTCAGACATCAGCACCTGCAGAGGGCACAAGTGGAATTTCCAATTTCCGGGCTCACACGAGGTTTCCTGGGTTCAAGTGAGGCACCATCAGCTCTTGGCCTGAAGCAGCTGCCCATTCTTCATCCTCATCTCCAGATCTCTCTTTCTCTTTCCTTTTGGCCATTGGGGCTGAAGAGTTCCCAGTTTGGTTTGCTTTGCACCTCATGGGCAGAGTGGAACTAAAATGTAAGGAGGAACTGCGAAGACCTTTGGGGCAGGGGAAGAGCAGCGCTGCCCTGCTCAGGTTCAGAGGAGGCAGAGTCAGACCCAGAGTCACAAATTATGGCTGCATTACTCTTTTCCAGCAGCTTCTGCAACAGCAGTCAGCTCTGAAATACCCAAACTCAACATTGGAATTGGTCCTAATGCAGCTGAGATGAGGAAGCGTGGTGCTTAAAAACAAACCTGCAGGGTTGCTGTGCTCTAAAATATTGGCTGTGCATATGAGAAAGCAACTGCATTTTTTGTGCTGGAGGCGATTCCTCAGGGAGACAGCTTCAGGTCTAAAGGGAAACCCAAGGAGATGCTGTGTAAGAACAAAACATCAGTGGGTGGTTTTACAGAAACACTGAAGGTAGTAATCGTCTAATAATGTAAATGAATTAGCATCTAATAATGCAAATGAACAATTCCATATAAATATTGCATGAAGTAAAAAGAAACATGAGGCACTGGCACAGGTTGCCCAAGGAGGCTGTGGATGCCCCATCCATCCCTGCAGGCATTCAAGGCCAGGCTGGATGTGGCTCTGGGCAGCCTGGGCTGCTGGTTGGCGACCTGCACACAGCAGGGCTTGGAGCTGGATGAGCGCTGTGCTCCTTTGCAGCCCAGGCCATTCTATCTTTCTATGATTCCATGATATTAACAGAGCTAAAATGCTGTTGATTGTAACAGCAGATACACGGTGCTGTTACACCCGAAGCAGAGCTGCTCCTGCCCAGCACTGCGCCTCGGGGGGGCATCGCAGTGCAGCCCCTCGTGCTCCAGTCGCTGCCCTGCACCTCACGAACACAGGCACAGCTTTAAGGAAGCCGTTTTCTGCTGTCCTCTGGAACTTTTTACTCCTAAAATCTGTGTCAGAGCTGCAGGCAACGCGCGGCCCCAGCAGCCGTGCTGAGGACGTTGTCCCGGGTTCAGCCGGGATGGAGTTGGCTTTCATTTCCTTTTCCAGTGCTGCCCTTTGGCTGCCGGAGACAAACGCAGATAAATCAGACAAACCCGGATAATCACACACCGACATTCCAGTTGGTGCTGCACAGAGCCAAAGATGTGTCGGCTCTCACGCTGCTCTGCCGGCGAGGGGCTGTGGGGCACGGGGAGAGGGCAGAGCCGGGACCCCAAAGTGCCCCGTGCCATGGCAGCGTGCTGAGCAACAAAAGTGGGGAGCGCCGGGGGGCTGCATCTGCTCAGGGACTGCATCACTCAGCAGATGGTGACTTATTCTCGTTTCTCATTACTTCTTCCCTTTTTTTCCCCACTGCTCTCACCTCCGGGTTCTCGCACTTTCATTATTTTGATTCTCCCCGCACCGCGCGTGGAGCGACGAGAGGAGCAGCGGCACCGCGGAGCTCCCCGTCCGGACACGGAGATCCGGGAGGACGCAGCGCGGGGCCGGAAGGGTTCGCTGCTGCCTTTCTGTCTCGAGAATGGAACTGAAGGAAGCGTTTCCCAGTACCGAAGGGATGCACGGGGTCGGGGATGCTCTGCGCGCGTCCCCCGCATCCGTATCTCTCAGTTCCCGCTGCCCGGAACGCAGCTTCCAGATAAAAGCGGAGAGGGAAGGAGGGCGTTTCGCATGGGATACGGCACCTCCGCGTCCCTGCGAACCCGGGGATCCGATCCGGGCCGGGCTGCGGTGCAGCTCTTATACCCGCACCGTGCTCACCGCCCGTCCGCAGGGCCCCCGGTGCCGCGGGGATCCGATGGGAGGGGCTGCTTCAGCTCATCCGAAGGGCCGAGCAGGAAACCAGAAGTACAGAGCGGGCACAGATGCTTTTGTAGAGGACTTAATGCTTGTTTAGCAGTCTGCCGTTTGCGTGGACGCACGATGTTCCCGGTGATTATCACAATAAAGCAATGTGGAGAAGGTCATGAGAGAGAGCCCTGGTGGGACCAGGCTGCCAGGAGGAGGGGGGAGAGCTGCAAAGCTGTCCTTGAAAGGGGGTGGGATGCTGCTGCCCTCAGTGACTCCCCTGGAACCCTCCCCCCTCCTCCTCCCCCCCCCATGGCTGCTTTCTGCACATCATCACACTCCCAGGACCAGACGTGGTGCCCCATCCCTGGAGACACCAAAGTGAAGGGACAGAGCTCTGAGCAGATTATAGAATCCTAGGATGGCCTGGGCTGCAAAGGAGCACAGCGCTCATCCAGCTCCAAGCCCTGCTGTGTGCAGGTCGCCAACCAGCAGCCCAGGCTGCCCAGAGCCACATCCAGCCTGGCCTTGAATGCCTGCAGGGATGGATGGGGCATCCACAGCCTCCTTGGGCAACCTGTGCCACTGCCTCACCACCCTCTGGCTCAAAAACTTCCTCCTCAGATCCAACCTAAACCTCCTCTGTCTCAGTTTTAGACCATTCCCCCTTGTCCTAATTGGGTGTGGGTGTCCCTGCACATTGCAGGGGAGTAGGACCAGATGGCCTTTCGAGGTCCCTTCCAACTCAAATGGTTGATGGATCACATCCCTGTGTCTGAGGCTGGTGTTGAGAGGGAAGGCCCAAAGCCAACAGTAGGTGGAGGACAGCTCACCAGTTCCTGCCAGGGATGCTGCTGAGGGGAGCTGGCCTTATCACAGCTGCTGACGTGGGGAATGGGGTCTGCTGCCAAGAGACATGCGTCCAGCCTCAGCCTGACAGGCACCCAGCATATCACCCTGCACCAACCCTTCTGATGCCTCCGGAAAGAGAGGAAGCAGACACACAAAACTGTGAGGAGGGACAAAACAGAGGAAGGGTGAATTTGTCCATTCAAAGGGCTTCAGAACCACAGAGAGGAAGAGGAGGTGGGAGAAATGGATAGAAACCTCCCGTGGGATGTGCTGTGAGAGGAGGATGCCAGGAGAGAAAACATTTGCAGAAGAAAGGAGTGGGAAACCCAGAGTGGGAGGAAGGAGGCTCAGAGCATTTGTGCCAGAAGGAAAGGGCAGGAGCAGGAGGGGGGGATGTGATGGGAATGGGCAAAGTTGGGAGGGGGCACAGGGAGGGTCTGAGCTGATCCCTGCCAGCTGGGAGAAGGGAAGCAGTTCTGGGAAGGCACAGCAATGGCTGCTCCTCTGCCTGAGGCCACGGGTTCGGGTCTGCGTCACTAAACCATGAAGCCATAAACGTTCCATCATTTATCATGGTTTGTGTTACAAAGGCTGTGAAAAGCACTGTGGCATTACTTCATCCACGGCCTCACCCTCAGCAAAGGGGAAATTACAGAAACCTGTGCAACAACGGGTGATTAAACCCAACTGTGACTGCACTGGGGATAAAAATGTCCAAGTGCCAGATGAGCTCCTGCAGTCTTGGAGTCCAAATGGGAGCCAAGCCCCTTCACCATCCTGTCCACAGCATCTCCAGAGCTCAGTTCCTAACCTTCTTTTTCCTTCTTTGGTGGCTTTGCTGTCATGTTTTCACCTGTGGACACATCTGGATTCCGTGTGCAAATTGAGACCACATTCAGGGAGGGCCTTCCCCATTTCAGAACAGTCCTCATTGCTATTTGTTCTGAATGCAGGAAATCCTTGCAGCTAAGGGGGAATTAATTATCATGGGTGCAAGAATGCTACAGCACACAATGTAGTATGTGCCTTGTTGCTTTTAATGTGTGATGGGACCGAAACACGGCCAACAAACACATTTCATCGCTGGGGTGACCCAGCTGCTGCACCTCATCAAATGGAGGTTCTTTGGCCAGCACCTCAGCCACTGTGCTGCTCTCCCCCCTGTGTCAGACACAGAATGCAGTCCTGGAAGCCCTCGGCACGGAGATGCCTATGGCTGCCACTCATCTATCACTGCCTGCTCTTCTTCCTCGCTCTGCTCTGACGCCAGGCTCACATCCTCCACCCCGCTGCTTTGTGATGAGCTGTCTGTGCCCTCCAGCTCCGCAGGCTCCTCGCCCAGGCCGAAGATGAGCTCTGGCACCTCTGCACGGAGGGTGTTGAGCCCCAGCTGGACCTGCAGCAGCGCCTGCAGCGCCCGGGGGTTCCTCAGCAGCAAAGAGATCCCCGCGTTCTCCATTTCCAACGGCAGCTGCTCTGCGCTTTGGTTGCCATTTGGGGAGTTCCCATCCCTCGCTGTGTGATCACCGTTAAGCAGCATTTGCACCGGGCTGCTGGGGTTCGTTATGGCGCTTTCCAGGTCACGCATGAGCTCCGAGTTCTC